TTTTTTTTTTTTTTTTTTTTTTTAAGCATCAATGTAGTAGTACTCTGGGCCGAATAGGGGGCAACTTTTAATCCACAGTTATCACCAACATGTATGTACTTATGTTGGAATCAACATGTATCAAACTGCTTTTTGTGAAGAGTTCTAGCAGACCTGAAGGGGTAACCCTTTATACAAAGCAGATGGCTGGCGGGGCGGGGGGTGGTGGGGAGGGAGGGGAACGTATGCCGGTAATGTGCTAGCACTTGTGTGGACATCCCAGTCTGCATTATACTGTTTAACATAAAGTGCCGACATTCTGTACCAGCAAATACCTGCCCATTCCAACCCTTGGTGGGAGCAGACCTCTACTGTCCTCCATAACTTGCTGCTAGTGAGGACAAGGGAGTTTTTCTTTCTTTAGCATCTTCAGTGAAGGATACAACAATGCCTAATGTATTTGACTTTTAGCTTGTGTCTGTGTGTAGGTGGGTGGGTGGGTGTGTATAGGAAAAGGCAAAAACGAATTATTTGCATCAAGTGGTTTTATGAGACAAAGAGTGGGAATTCTGTAGTCCTCTGGCTTACCCTGTTGATTATAAACCTAGCCTCAAAAGAGATTGACATGTGTAATTCAAGTAAGCATTCGCTCTTGGAAGTCTTTATGCACCCTTTGTGGGGAGGTGGTCAAACTTGAGTCTCCAGCGTTGGTTCAGTCCCATTGAATGCCTTGTAGAAAACTAACTGTGCCCTCTTCCTGCTCTCCGGTTTTCATCACCACCACCATGCCCCTTCCATCTCTGCCCATGTACAAAAATGTCTCCTTCTGGTCCCCTCTGCCTGCTCTCTGTGTGAGGAGCAAAACCCTGTGGTGTGTGGTGACGTCCAGGTGGAGAGCAGCTGTGTTCAGCCATCTACAGACGGCAAAATCTTAGTGGCCCTGGGCCAGGAGCGTGTCCCGAGGCTCCCACGAGCCCGTGACAGCCCTGTCCACTGCCGTGATTCCCTGTCGTGTCCTGCCCCCCCCCCCCCTCCTGCCTGCTGGTTCCTTGGCCTGCACTATGGGTTAGTTGAGTTCCTTACGATACTACGGTGAAAGCCGGGTGCTAGAGCCCCTCTTGTTTACAAGACATAATGAGGGATTTGAAATATGTAAAAATAAACATGAGAAGCTCAAATGTTCTTCCATCTTAAGCTTAAAGGGAAAAAATTAAAAACTTAAAAAAAAAAAAGACCAAAAAGTGCATATATATATACATATAAATATATATTTTAGATGAAGACTAACTCTGGGAGCATTTAACAGTGTTTTTTGTTTTTGTTTTTAACATTTATTTTCCTGCTTTAAAATTTGCAAGCATTCTCAGGAATTCTAGGGTAGGAAGCCAGTTTTTTGAAGATGGTTTATTTAACCGTATCTTATCCTAGATAGACGGCTGTTTCTTTCCTGTTCATAAACTTTTACAAGTTCCTGAAACTTCAAAAAGTTGAAACAATTTTTACTTAAAAAAAAAAAAAAATGTAAAGTCTCCAAACATTATTATCATACTGGGGATCACACATTTTAAAACACATAGAAAGAAATATTTTTTAAAAATGATCAATTTAGCAGCAACAGGTCAATTCGTTATCTTTAAAAACATGGGAGAAGGATTAGCTTTCTAAGAGCTTTATCATGGATTCGTTTGAAATTGTGTGTCATTTAGTGGGAGCGTTTGGTTTTTATAAATGGGAACGTCATCACTCTGTTCCTTTCCATTTAAGATTGAACTGACATCTCCCCTAATGATTGTTTTTGTTTTGTTTTTTTTTTAAGGGAACCCTTCTCCCTGCCCCTCAAACCCCAGGACAAAAGAAAGAAAGAAAGAAACAACAACTTAGGGGGAAAAAAAAAAAAGTAAACTCTAATCTGTAAAATAGTACGGTTGGATTGCTGAGAATCTATGTAAAGAGCTAGGAAATATAGGTTAATAATTTTTGGAACAAATTTTAAATATAGGCATTACTAGAGGAAAATATCTATGGACTGTTCTATTAACAAAGAATGTCTGTCTTACCTCCGTTTGTTATGGGAGGAGGAGAAAAGAAGAATCTAATAAGGAACAAGTGATTTTACTTTTTTAGCTCCCAGCTACTGTTGTGCTCATTTTAATTGCTGTTTTGAAGATCTGCTGCTTAATTATCCCCATCCCTCAGCTGGAGATGTGGAGTATTTCCTTTCGATTTTTCATGACGTTGAATTCTCCTTTTGTATTCCCTCCTGGGGCCGGGGGTCAGAATTCCCAAGCATGACCACAGCTGCTTTTAAACATCTAAGCTTCCCAGTGGGAAAGAAACTCCAGCTTGACAGGTAAAGGGAGTGGGTGGGGTTGCTGCCTGCAATTTCTCTAAAGCCGCTTTAGTGCCTTCGTACATACACCCAGACATCCTAAGCAGGGGGAACGCGTGTGTATGTGCATGTGGTCCAGTCACTCCGCAGACATTAAGACACTTGCCCATTAAGGAAATCGGAGTGGTTCTGGACAGGCCCCACAGGCAGTGGGCTAAATTGAAAATAAACAGAAATCAAGGAAGTGAAATATGCTTTCATGTCTCAGTAATGTGGAATGCCAAGATCCTTCCTTGTGTTATCGCCCTCGTTACTGGGTACTGACGTCTCCACATGTGTCATTGTGACAACCACATACAGTGATTTGGAAAGTCTGTCTGTGTTGGGCCAGTAGAAAGGGGTTCCTGTTTTTCTGCTCCTGTCCTCCCTTGTCTCCTCTCTTTCCCCCAACTCTGCCCCCCCCCCTTTTTTTTTTTTTTT